AAAATTCACATCTAAAGTTGAGACCTAATTTTATTTTGTATTCCTTTGTTTGCCAATGAGGTTAACCATTTCCTAACATAACCACTTATGTAAAAGCTTTTAATATTTTTCACTTTAGATAGAAACAGTCTCAATTGGTTTTATTCTAAGAAATGTCTTTTCTAAATTGAAATCTAAAAGTTACTTCTCTTTATTTTCTTCTACTTATTTACATGCAAATCTATTTAGAATTAATATTGATATATATAAATAAAAATTATATATTTTTAAACACAAAAATTGTGCTTGGACAAGTTATTTAATATTATCAAATAATCATATCTTTCTCCACTCTTCCAAAACCTGCTTTAACTATATATGGATTTCTTACGTTTCAGAGAATCTGCTTCTAGACTTTCTTTTACTCCCCTGAGCAATCTGCCCACATTTGTAAGAGTACTAAATTCGTTTGATTACTCTAGCATTTAGCTCATTTTACTACTTGTAGGGCAGGTTTTCCTGAATAACTTTTCATTTGAAACATTTCTGAAATTTCTTCATGGGTTATTCTTCCCAGGTGAAATACAGGCTAACTCATCATTAAAAAAAAAAAAGATACATGAATGAATAAAATCTTACCGAGAATTTGGAATTTCAATAAACTTAATAAGATATTTGGTGACTATTGTGTAATCTTTCACAGCCCAGCCTTTGTCATCACAGAGACCTGAGTTTGAAGCTGAGTTTCCCCATCTACTAACTGTGAAACCATGAGCAGTGGATAGCATACTAATTTCCAGGTTTGATATTTCCCAACAGGAAAGGCAGGATGATAATACAGACCTCACAGGGAGGTTGTGAATTATATAATAGATACTTATTTTAAGTGCTTACCTGAGAACCTGGCAGTAAATAACCATTCACTAAATGGGTGCAGTATTAATCTAATTTTGTCAGAGGACTGAGTAGGAGTGACATGGAGTGATTTACTGATCACCCCTGGCCCCTTTCTCATCGACAATATGGGCTGATTTCATCTCTGAAGTATTTCTGTAAATTAAAATCATAAACCCAGCCTCCTTCGTCAAAACAAGAGGATTACTGGATCCAGGAAAACTGATATGATACAACAGAAAAGTCATAATTATGTTTGACAATTACTAAGCCTGCTAGGAATGTTTCCAGCTTTATCTTATGTTGTATTAATGACCTCCAATGAAACATGCCTCCCTGGGTTCATGTGGCATTGTCATTGTTCCCATCAAAAGGTGGAGTTTATCTACCCCTGTCTAGTCTGTGCAGGCTGCTATAACACAATATCACAGACTTGGTAGCTTATAAACAACTGAAATTTATTTCTCACAGTTCTGGAGGCTGGATTCCAAGATCATGGCACTGGCCCGGTCAGGTGAGGGTCCTCTTCCTGGTTCACAGCCAGCACCTCTCCTTGTGTCCTCACATGGCGGGAGGGGCTGGGGATCTCTGGGGAGCCTCTTTTATGAGGCACTAATCCCATGCATAAGGGTTCCACTCTCATGGTTTAAGCACCTCCCAAAGCCCCCACCTACTAATACTATAACTTTTGAGGGTTGGGATTCAACATATAAATTTGGGGGGTGGGCACATACATTCAGACCATAGCAACCTCCTGACTCTGGACTTTACTTGTAATTTGCTTAGGCCAATAGGACGTAGCAGAAATGGTATGCAGGTTCAAGAGCCTAAGCCTTAAGAGTCCATTTAGTTTCCACTCTCAACTTCTTCTGAGAACACTATGTTGTGAAAGTTCACTCTAGCCTATTGGAAGATGAGAAATCTAGCACTAGGCAGAGGATCAAGGGGCCCAGCTGACAGCTTGTACTAACTGCAAACCACGTGTGTGAGGCCACCCTGAAGCCTCCAGTCCCAGTAGAGGACTAGAGCCATGAGTGTTCCCAGCAAGATTAGCAGAAGACTGCCCAGATCACCGTACAGAGAATTTTGGAAACTAATAAATCATTGTGTTAAGCCACTAAGTTTTAAAGTAGTTTGTTTCACAGTAATCAGAAAATAAAACAAAATAAAGCGCACACGCTGGGAGAGGTGAATGCTCTGTCCTTCCACTCAGCCATCCTGCACATCAACTATATCTTCTGGAGATGTCGTCTGAATAAAAGGAGATAGAGCTCTCTGTCTTAAAAATATAAACCAAAGACTAAAACTTCTCAAAGGGTAATTCAAAAGGAAGTAGCTTCAATTTCATTTTATGCAGGTCCAATGTGTAATTGAAGAAGACCCTTATAGACATCTGGATAAATATAAAACAGTGAAAACTCAATCTCCCTCTTTTCCGTGACCATACCAAAAAGAAAAAGAAAAGGAAAAAAAGGAAGAAAACTTCATATCCATTCTTGGAAAGTAACCCAATTCCAAGCAATGATTTTTGCAAAAGCGCTCTCAAATGTAATGACATTTGAAACAAATCTGGAGAATGTGGGGACGGTGGGTGCATTTTGCCAGAGATCTTAAACAGCATCCAGATCAAACCGACATGTATAAAAGTAAATTTTAAACAAGTAAAAGTAAATATAGTAACTAATTTTTGCATTTCAGGATGAAAAAGTTCTTTCCTAAGCATAATGACAACACAAAAGGAATATATTGCCATATTTGATTTAAGAAAACTTCCAACACATATATCTAATAAATAGAAAACCAGAAAAATTAAAAGGCAAATGATAAATTGGGAATGATCCTTAATGTTTATGCCAAACAGATTGATACACCAAATATACAAAGAAATTTACAAAAAATTAGATATAAATAAAATAATCAAGAAAACTAACGATCATTTCAGGAAAGAGGAATAAATATCCTACAAAAATATGAACAAACATGTAGACATGTTAGGCAAAGAAATAAACATAAATAAATAAAACAGAAAAGCAAGACTTTAACTTTTCACTTGTTAAAAATATTGGAGAGTTAGGGAAGACAGGGTGAATGAGATCCCACAGATGTGTCATTATTTTTTAAAGGGCAATTTGTGGGGAGTTGATGGAGTGTTTGAGAGTCGGAGGGCAGCAGTTATGTAAGTGGCTATTGATCCAGGCACGAGAAAGTATACGGTCACTACCACAGCATGAGCAATTTATAGTCCACATGGCTTCAGACAAACTTGTCTTCTAATCACTCAGAAATGAGAAATCCAGACTGCTGAGAGCACAAAGTGAACAATATATAGATTGAGAAAGAGCATCCTAGGATAATATTTCCAATTTCAAGTTGTTACTTCCCTTACTCACTCCCTAACCACTCTCATCCTATAATTTTTATTAAATAGTTGGCGTAGACAATGAACCAAAAAAAAGGAACAGTCATTACTAGAAATGAATCACTGTGGGGCCAATACACACATACTCAACATTTGTTTTAAATAGGAAAGAGCCATTCTATCCACACGCACAAACACACTTACTCACTCACGCCATGAAAACAAAGAAACTCGTACTCTAAGTGGAAATTCCAAGAAAAAAATATAAAACAAGAGACCAAGAAGGATCTGGCAAACACTCAAAAATGGAATAAAAAGTAAAACGTAAGTAGAAGAAAGGATAATAATAAATACTATTAAAAACACAATGATGTATACAGAAGGCATATATAAGAAAAGGAATTACAAGACAATGAAAAAAGACAGAGTTTTGAAAATTAATTGACAACTAATAGAGGACTAAAGTGACCAAACACTAAATGATAGAAGTAACTAAAAAAGAGAAAGCATGACAAAATATTATTAATTAAATGTTTTTCTTTTCTTATCACATTTGAAACAAAAGGAGACTATTTCAACCTGTGACAAATACACCATCTTAAAACAGAATTTTTTCTCTGTAATGATGTGACAAAAAATGACAAGGACACATTTTCCAAAACCTTGTCTGTTTGCTCTTCTCTGTACCATTTCTTCTACACCTCCTCATTGTGATTTCTTTACCTTTTCGAATTCCCCACATCATTGGCTGCTGCCACATACACAATAAACGCATCTCTTCACCGACTTTACCTTAAAATCCGACTCAATTCTGTTGTAATAATTTGATAAGAGGGAGTTTCTTATGCTCTCTCTTCCCTAATTAAAGATTTTGTTTATCAATATATCCTTTTCTTTGGGCTACACCTTTGTCTCCATGCAGCTGGTCACAGAGTAGATGACTCTTCTTCAGTTTCCTTGTCAGATGGGACCGAATTTAAATCCTAATTCTGATACTTGATATTATCTTAGAAAATTAAGATCCCTGAGTCTTAGAATTCGTGTTCACAAAAAAATCATAATTATTATAGCACTGGGCTGTTAGGAGAATTGAAATAGATAATAATGTTGCACATATGATAGCATATAATAAGCACTTGAAAGAAATTTGCTATTATTTATTATAAATTTAGTATTTCGAGAAAAGTATATTTGGGATACAGAGTTTATGTCATCATTTCCAACTTCCTGCATCAGACATCACAGAAATTAAAAGATCTAACTGTCACTCCCCAAGTGAGAATCAGCAACTGAATTGTAAGCAGAACGTTCCTGGGTAGAGAGAAAGGTAAACTTCTCTGAATACAGAATATCTTGGAACTCTGTTTTTTCCTCTTTTTTATTTTTCTTTGTGAGGAAGATTTGCCCTGAGCTAACATCTGTGCCAGTCTTCCTCTATTTTGTATGTGGGATGCCCCCACAGCCTGGCTGATGAATGAGTGGGTTTCCGTGAACCCGGGCTGCCAAAGCAGAATGCTTGGAACTTTAACCACTGGGCCATGGAGCCGGCTCCTGAATATAGAATATTTTTGCAGCTTTAACTTTGGAAACATAAAAGTATTTTACACAATATAGAACAAAATTATACAAAAAGTTTAAAAAGCAAGATCTAAAAAACTGAATCAAAATGAAACAAAATAACCTGTCTTAACCATATATACACACAAACAGTAACGTATTTATGTATTTATACAGACACACACACACACACAGAGGTGAGATGACACAATGTCTGGTATTTCTTTCAAAATTTCTAAATAGTACAGTGGTGGTGAGGGTGAGGTAGTGAGAGTTACAGAAGAAACCAGAGCGCCCTGAGTTGACTTTCGCGGTACTCTTGCTCCCTCATGAAGAGCATCTGCAACGAAATTCAAAAATTGGTGTTACTTTTTTATCTTTTTTAAAAACAGTGCTACTAACATTACCCTCCTACGTTCTCGAGAGTCTCCTTTGCTATATAGCATGGTATCAACAGCATTTTTAGTTTGCTGTTAAATGGATCAGCATTTATGGTCAGTCTCGCCTCCTCCCTTCTCTTGATTTCCTTTTCTCTGTCTCTCAGAAATATTCCATATAGTTACGAAGCTTTATGGTATTTCATCATGGATATTTCCTGGATCTCCACTTCTGGGTGACAGTTTTGTTGGTAGCTCTCGTGTGGACAATTCCTTTGTTCTAGTTCATAATTGGCTCCCCAGCCACAGAGGTTTACTCCAGAGTATTTTCCAAAGTGTCACAGATTTCTTAGCTCCTTTCTCTGGCTTTCCCAGCGACCTGTACTTTTTTACTCTTTCTGTTTCCTGTCTTATGAAACAAAGTTATAAAAGAAAGTTATCCCTCTAGGCATTGTGATGTTTTTATCCTGAGTAGAACACTTACCTAGGCTGTGATTTTTTTTTTTTTTAAGCAGAAGGTGGGTCTCATGGCCATTCTGAATTCATGATGGTTTTTATTTGTTTCATGAAAGATCTAACTTAAACTTGTATTTTACATATATTTATAGCTCAGTTTTAACATAGATATTTTGCATTGAAATCCATCATTTTCTTCTAATATCTACACAATTAAAGAGAAATCACTGAAGAGTCATAGTTAATTTTGACAAGTATTGATAAGTAGTGCACACATATCTTTTGTTTCATTCTAACATTCAGAAATTCCCAGGCTGTAGAAAATCCTTCACTTGTGAGGTCGTTCTTAAACAAACTTTTTTCAGTTAACTAAGAGTTTGCACTAGTCACAGAGCACCTGGTACTCCATTTAAAAAGGGAAAATATGATTTGTAAAATGAGAGATGTGAACCACTTACTATATAAAGATGAGCGCAACACCTTTCTGCTACCCATTTCAACCTTGACAGTGCTCAAATAGGTTCCTCACATGGTAGCTTCCAGTGAAAATATAGTTCCAAGCCAGCAGGAAAATGAGGTGTGGGTCCCTGTGACCGAGCAGTCTTAAGCCCCATGCAGTTGAAAGAACACCTGAGGGAATGCAGTTAAGGGATCTGCGTCTGCAAAAGCATCTCAGGTAATTCTTTGTACACACAAAAGCCATCTGTGAACCAGTGCTATTCTCAGTATCAAAGCAGCTGTTCCTAACAATTTCAAACCAAGGAAATCTCATGCATTCAATTTTCTTAAGTAAGGAAAAATTCTCCACATGTTATGTGCTTTTTTCCCCCTATTGTGTTTTGCGAAATATTGAAAATGCCATATTTTCCTCTGTCTGTCAAAGGAGTTTACAACCCTCCAGTCTATAACTATGCTACATCCACAATACACGTTCTGTTCTGATTATCAAATTTGATGCTTCAAAATATTTGGAAAATCCAACAAAGTAAATACGAAACTAAAAGCTATCAAAGATAAATGCTAAAAATGTTTTCTTTTTGACTTTTCATTCTATGTATGCATATCTACATAGAATTTACAATACAGTTTACATCATATGTTATGTGATGTACATTTCTTTTTAATCTTATAAAATTAATTAAAATTTAAATAGAAAATATATTCATATGTTTTAAAAGCAAAATCATAAAATTGCACAAAGTGAGTATTCTCTCTCTTACGAAAGCTCCTTATGGTCACTGATTCCCATGGTATCCCCAGAGTAGATTATCACTGTTACCGTCTTCTTGTAGATCCCTCCAGAACTTTCATGTGCATAAAAGCAGATCACTACATATTAGTTCTCCTCGTGTGTTACACAAATATTTGCTTACTATATACACTATTCTGAGCTTGCCCTGTGGTGTGCGTGTGTTTTCTTCTCTAAACACTTGTTGCTACCTAGAATATTTGGATTTTGTATTTTCTTGTTGATTTAAGAGAAAAAATAGAGTCTTACACATTCAGTGAATGTTTTGATTCCTATATTTTGAATTTTGCATATTGCCTCTCTTTGAGTTACTTATTTTTTGTACCTGGATTTTTATTAGAGTGTCAATCTTATGATCTGTCTGAGCTCTTATCATATAAAAATAATAATTTTTTATCTGTCATTTCCTTTATGTAGGACAATACACTAATACGCTGTTAGTGCTTTCATTTGTGGGTTTAATTTTCAAAAATAGTTTTTCAATCAGATATCAATTCACTTCCACTTTTTGTGCTTAAGTTTCCTTATCCGCAGCCCCTAACCAATTATTAGGCTTATTGAACACAGTTACACACACACAGAGTGGTATGTTGGCAAATGTGCAATAACTAGCTCTCTGCAGGTAAAATAAAGAAAGCACTGGTTTGTGCTTTTGCCAGTTTCTATAATGTAAAGCACTAGAAAATCTACCTACTGCTCATGAGAAACCCATGTCAGGCTACCAACATGGTGTTCAGCAGCTCACTGAATTCTGACACTGCTTCACTCAACGCTCAGCACAGAGTAGCTCTGAATAACTGCTTCTTATACTCATCGTTTTGTATTTTTTAATAATTTTATACCTGTATTTTTTCACTTGTTTTTTATTCTATTGGAAACTTATTTTGATGTAAGTTGAGTGATGAGGTTCTAAGGTGTTTTTATAATTTCCAGAAATGTAATCAATGGTTTAAATTAATTTTAGTAAATAATCTATTAATTCTCCATTGTTTTCCGATGATGGATTTTTGTTTTCCTTATTCACATCCAAACATCCCAATTTTAACTAGCAAAGCTATGAAAATTAATGGGAAATGTTTCATTTATGAAGAGATCAACTAGGTTATAGTCCAGAGACTGTTCAACATTTAGAACTTGGAAGAAAAAGTTCTTAATTATTCTTTATTAGGCAGACTTGTCTACTAATGAAGAGACTAAGAACAAAACACTTTAACTATCTTGAATAAGGACCTAAAAGTAATTATACAGTTATTTATTAAGTTTCTCATTTCCTAGTGTAGCACCTTCCAACTATACCATTGCTGACATTGTGAATATTGGGGCTAAATCCGATGTTTCACAACGATAAGTACAATTTTATACTTTTTATAAGTAAGCACCTGATGAAAATAAAGTTATACAGAATAAAAAATAATGCCTCTGTCTGGTGCATACTAGAATGTTTCAATAGTTACATTCCAAAATTCAATTTATCCTTATATTGCATTAACCCTCTATTGAAAAAGACATGACTTACAACTACTGCAAATTCCGTAGGCTATAAGAAAAGCAAAAACTTCATGGTGACAGATTATCAGGCCAAATTTTGAATTTCACCAGTCTTTTCTCATAGTCAACATCTCCTCTGTCTTCAATATTGTTAGGGTTACTATTCAGTCATTAGGTCCAGATGGCACTACATAAAAATTCAGCTTGGTAATTACTTGGAAATACGAGCAGTATCATAAAATCAACACAAAGATGCTAAGATTAAAGACTCATTTTTTAATTTTTCATTGAGGAACCTGAAATTCAGCTAAAATTAACTGTATGATTGTTAGTTATATACTCATTCTGGTAGAATATAGTTGGATGTAATTTTTCAAAAGATTCTGTTCTGAATGAACAGATTGCTTGTATTAAAGATATCATTCTTGCATAATTCCTACTGATTATTAACTGGGGTTTATTATGAAGCCACTGTGTTGGCTTCTTTGCTAGATGTTGATTTGTGAATATTCCTAAACTTGTTCCAGGTGCTGCCATTAAACATTATAGAATTCTGGTGATAAATAAGTTTAACAAAATATTGCCTTTTTGGCCAAAGTAATTGTCTTTGGGGAGATTATTTATAGTTATTATATTAAACCTTGGAATACCCATTACTCACAGATAGTTCAAGTATTCCTGAGAGATGTTGTAATCACCTCTTGAAAACACTCTCAGATGATATAAAGTTGAGAAAACTCTTACATTGCCTCAAGATATCTGTGGAATCAATATTTTTAAGAAAAGTCTACCTCAGTACTGAATAAATTATCCTTATTTTACAGACAAAGTCAACCTGTTAAATGAGATCTGAGTATATGATTTCTCACACAGTACTATTTCAAAGTTATTTTGCTTCATTGTTCTACTTAAATATGGGTATATATGATATCATTGTATTCAACTATGGAATTATATAATTAAATAATAGGTAACCATGTACTTACATCTTGGTATAAATATGTAATAATTTCTTATGCATAAATATCTTGTAAAATGATTTATATTTCAACACTTTTATCTTATTCAAAGTTTACTAGAAATATTCAATTTTAAAATAATCACAGGCACAAAATTAAAAATTATAATTATGATCTATGCAGAACTTTAGGCAAATACACTAAAAATCTCACAACTGCTATATCTTGGAAAATTACAGATGTCACAAATGAATCTAAGGAAAGGGGAAAACCTGGAGACACAAAAATCAGGGAAGAAGTCAGTAAACTGATTAAAGAATTATTCCCCAAAGAGCTTCAAGTCACGGAATAGCATTGCTGGGTTATTCTACACAAAGGGAAAAATCCCTTTATTATATAAAATGCTCAATGATTAAAAAAAGACATTTTCACACTTTATCATATAAAGCTCACAATAACCAGAAACAAAAATATGCCAAATACACGGACAAAAAAATCTACTTAAAAGTATGAGTGTAAAAAGACTAATGAATCAAATATAGTGAATATGCAAAAGAAAAGCTACCATGACAAAAACGGCTTTTAAAAGAATATGAGACGATTTAATATTAAAAAATAAAACAACGCATTTTATCGCTTCACGAGGTCAGAGGAATTAACTATTTGAACATTTCAGTATACATCAAAATGGCAATTCAGTTTAAAGAACAATTATTAATAAACTATAACTTTTCAAAGATGCCTCCTTTGCATTGATGAGTTCCATCAGTTCTAAGCTGTGCATACACATACTCACACACACACATTTAGG